ATATTATCCATTTCTTTCAGGTTTTTTATTTGATTCAGTGGAGCCTATTTGTAAATTCCCCCTATTGAATGAGTGTGCATACATGCACTTTTCCCCTCCCTCATTTTCTAAGTTAGATATTAATTTACCTATTTTATAAACTGTTTGCAGAAAATCCAGTAAGTTTTTATATTTAACATTTTAATTTCCACTTTCATCTCTCTTTCTTTAGTTACATTTTTGTGTGCATTTAAACAATTGAGGACATATACAATATATGCATTTATACATTCATACTCTGTAAATCTGCATTATAGATTAATCACTGTGGTCATGAATTTAGTTTTCTTCTTTCAGATTTATGAAGATGCTTGTATGATTACTTATATTAATCTAATAAGATAAAGAAATTTCTTCTATTCTACCATCTTTTTGTTCCATCTCCTGCTTACTCTTCGGTGTCATTTCATTTTAGTGGGGCCTCCCTGGTGGCCACGGGTTTAAGATTAGTGCGATTACCACCATGCCTCAGTTCTTCCATGGCCAGGGAGCTGACCCACATATGGCATAACCGACCTCTCCTGTCTCACAACCTGCTTCCCTCAGCAGTTTATTTAGAGCCACCTGTTCTGTTCCCCACTCTCTGATGAATCCTTTCCTCCGTTCACTTGCACCTCTGGTCTACACCCACTTTTTCTATGCAATGTATAAATATTTAAAAAAACATTCATTTTAGATTTTGGGCATCAATCAAATCAAAGTGAGATTGATCTCTAGTCACACTTAATTGTCATGCATTGGTAAAATTTTGATATTAGCATCGTGTGTCATTTACAAATTATGTATCTGTCCTTTCTTCTGTTCTCTGGAATGGTTTAATTTTTTTTTTTAATATTTTAGTAAATTTCTGGAGTAAATGTCACTGTCATGCTGGTTTTTGTTTTTGTTTGGATGGGAAGGTGTGTGCTTTTCTGGCAACTTTATATGTTTCATTAGTAATGGATCAGATTTACTTTGTATACTGGCTTGATGTTTGAAAAATCATACTATGTTAAAATTTTTTTATTGCTTTCATATTTTCAAATGAATTTACCTCATTATAACAAGGATTCATCTCCCATTTCCTTAATTCCTTTCTTTGATTACTTTTTATTTATTGTTCCTTATTTTAATTATACTTTCCTTATTTTTGATTGTTAGTTAATGGTTTATTTGATGAGTTTTTTTTTTTTAAAAAAGCAGCCTTTATATTTCTACTTTCTGATCCATCAAGTGTTGCTTTAATCCTTAATTCATTATGTATTATCATTTTCTTAAAATTTACAGACTTGGTGCCTTTGATTATAGAATGTATTGCTACAGTGTATATTAGCTGAAATCAGGAGTTTTGCCCTCAGCACAAATTCAGCACTACCCTCTACATTAGGGTATGTCTAATTTTTGTTGTTCTAGCCTGCTAAATGATTTTGAATTCACAAGTTCCTTTTCAAGTGACATTTAAGAGAGTTTGCATGTGGTAATGACTGTCTTGTATTGACATCAGAGAATAGTCCCTGCTACTAATTTCTCAGTTTAACCAACAGTTTCATTATGATCTAATACAATTATTTTTGTGTTTCATCAACACTAGAAATGTGATACACTATGTCTTCATCCCCAAAATTAATCCCATTTGGACTAGTGCACTAGTGCTGTATTATTTTCGAAACATCCTTTTTCCCTCTCTACTCCAACTCCATTCAGCATAGAGACTGTAGTTTAGCAGCTGCTACGAACACAGAAGTCACACCCTTGACATATTTACAAAAGTGTAAACCATTTTATGGACTATAGGAATAGATTTTGTAACATACGAGAGAACACAGTTTTCATCTCTTCAGGGGAAGGAGTACTGTTAAACTTTTAGCACATCAGTAAGTTTGTACCCCCACCAACAAGAGGAAACCAGACTGGCTCACCCAGGCCTTTTCCCTAAGGTTACAAAGATATGTGTGGACTCTGGGGCTGAGTCCGTTGAGTCCTCACGGAGGAGAGGGCAAGGACACACTCCCAATCACTCACAGAGCAAAACCCTGTGTGGTAAGTAAGGACAGGCAGAGGTGGCCCAACTGTCTTCAAGAACAGGCCATTTGAAAACTGTTCAGCAAAGAGAACAGAGAAGATGGTTATCTGACCTCATTCTTGATGACCGATGAGGGAATAGGGAATCCCAATTAAAAGAATGCTTTTATCCCTCCTTTTGGCATCTGTCACAAGAAACCAAAAGTTTCCTTGTTTACTGTATTTTCAAGAATTCAATAGTACATTTTTTATCTTTAATGACTGATTTTGCAGGAAAAAGAAAACTTGGCCATTTTGAAATTATGCATAGAAAGGCAGTAGACTGACGAGAATCACAAAATAATGTTATCTGCACAATTTCAAGATTCCCAAAGAGAAACCTTTTTCTCACACAAGTTTGTCTCGGGTCCACAAATGTACAAATCTCACTTTTGTACACACCACTTTAAAAACACTACCTATGTTTCAAGTTCATTGTCCAGCTTGCATTTCACTCTCACAACAATTCTACTGTACTCATTTCTCATATGAAGAAATTGAGGTACAAAAGATTAAGCAACTTGCTCCATAATCTGTGCCTGGTATGAAGCAGAATCGTGACTCGTAATTATCCTTTGCCACACAAACCATTTGTCTTCTACCAACCCTTGTCCCACTATCACTTCTGATCGTGTCGGATTTTGTTGTTTGATCCAGTAAAAAATGAGGTATCTCGCAAAACTGGGTAATGTAAACCAGGAGAGTTTTCAAAGCTTTCCAGGCATGGTTTGGAAACCCCACCAGCACAGCTGATCCACACCTCAAGAGCTTGATTTTGCCTTTGCAGTCAACATAGTCTTTGAGAGCACCACAATTTGTCTTGTTCTCTCGTTTGGTCATTGAAGTCCTCTTTCCCCTGCATGAACAAAGTGCCTCAAGGAAGGTGGCATGTCTGGATTCAATCAGAATCACTCACTCTGGCAGAAATAGCCAGGGATTCAGGATCTCATGAATGGTGAGTTCTTTGGATAAGAGGGATCAGGAGGAATATGGCAAAAAAAAAAAAAAAAAAAGGAAATGTCTGAAGTACTTACCCAGAAAAATCAGGAATTGTCTATGTAGGGAGAGGCAGTATAAAAATAAGGGAATATGAGGGATATTTTAAGTAACAGACTAAAATATTCATAATCTGACAGCCACAGATAAGCAGCTCACCATCTCCACACACTGTAGCTCATTTATGCCCATCTCTGCACTTGCTGGCTGGAACAGCCCCACTAAATGATTGTACACGTGTTTCCAGTCCACCTGATCCCTGTTATGTATGTAAACTAGGGCAGCAAATAAGTGCAAGTTCTCTGGAAATAGATTACCTGAGTTACATTTGTTATTCTCCTAGTATAAAACTATGGCTTATGTTTATAACATGCAAAAAACTGAGTATCTCTCTGCTTATATACCTTATCAGGATGGTAAGAAAAATTAAAGCAAATACAGTAGTTTGCCCTTTTCTGTGGGGTATGTTCTAAGGCCTTCAGTGGATGCCCTGGACTAGATGTTATGTATTCTGCTATATATACATACATACCTATAGTAAAGTTTAATTTATAAATTAAGCACAAGGAGAGCTTGACAACAGTAACTAATAATAAATATAATAATGTAACAGCATATGGCATTAAAAGTTGTGCAAATGTGCCTTCTCTCTTCAAAATATCTTACTGTATTAAATACTTTTGGGTCGTGGTTTACCCCAGTGGTAACTGAAACTGCAAAAGCAGACAAGAGACTCATACAGTGGTTCTGGGAGTTATATTAGTGCTTTGAAGAGAGCTCACTACATGATGTGACCTCAGACAATGGGCCCTGTCTTTCCTGGACAGTCAGGTGGGGTTGAGACTTACCAGTCCAGTATTTTTTCAGCTATTTTAGCCAAAGAGAGAATTTCTTATTTTATACACACAGCATGTTATACAGGCAAATTAAGTAAGTGTTAACATTGTGCTGTTCAACTCCCACATGCTTTATTTCCTTCTTCAGTTACTGAAGATATATTAAAATTGTATTTTTCTATTCTTATCAATTATTTATTTGCATGTATAATATTACTAAGTTAATACAAAACTGAAGAATGCATCTTTCTGATATATTTATCTATCATCTTTGTTCTCTATCAATGTGTGTGCTTATTTTTAAAATGAACCTTTTCTACAATGGTCACAGTGTATAAGTTTAAATTTTCCATCCAATTATTTTTAATGTTTATGTATTCTAACAATATAGGTGAATATTTTAAACAACATAGAGCATATGTTTAATTTTTAATCAAGTCTTATTAAAACCATTTCATTTAACCTGAGTATACCTGTATTATGAATTTTCTGTTTCACTAGTGTGCATAGATTTTATTCCTTTCTATATTCCGTTTATCTTTCCATGCTTGTATTCTGGCTGGTTTCAACATTTTTACTGTTATGTTTTCCTTTCCTTTCCTTTCCCACCTGCACAGGCTCCAAAAGTCTTGCTACTTGTTACATACTTTTGCCTACAGCCTCTTGTTTGGAATTAACACAAAACTGAACACACAGAGCCATGTTCTGTGTTCAGCATTGTGTCATTACAAGGAGTAATGAGAAGGAGTGAAACTGCAGGGAAACACATTTCTGTTATTTGTAATAGTGAAGTGAGCCACTGATGACATCAGTGGCGTCACCAACATCGAACTTTTTAAGTTCTTTAAGATTTGTGTCTGCTACCTTTGTCCACAGACATTTGAATAGTTGTTTTCATTCGATGTTAATTACTGAAGTCTATTAAGGGGACAGAAAGACACATAGTCACACAACAGCAAAGCCTATGAGTCCTTGATCTTCAGCTTCCAAGTCTGTATTTATTTTATCACATAACAAATATTATAGTGTTTATCTGTCTGTCTTCATATACATAACTATTACACACGCATATATATATCTATATCCCCATAATCCTTAAATATATACTTCCAAATATAAATATTTTCACATCAAGGTAAACAGGATAAAAACATGTAAACATACACACCTGGTTCTGATCAAGTAAAACAGAAACCACAAGGTAACAAGTTAAAAAGTGCACTTGCAAAGGGGATGAGGGAAGGAACAGACATGTAAACAACAGAGATGAGCAGCTGTGCCACAAAAGCCCTCCTGAGGGTCCATTTCTTAAGGCTGCAGTAGCAAAAAGCTCCTTGTTCAGTAAGACTTCTCCCTTCACCCTGTCACATTTATTCTTGAGGGACTTCAAAATGAGTGGAAATTCTGTAAACATTAGACTAGAACTGAATCAATCCTGTTGAAAACAGAGATGACAAAATAAACCGTAAACTGACAGCAATATTCATTTCACCGAACAATAACTTTAAGGACTTTTTGTTAATACAGTGAAACACCATGATCCTAGGAGGGAAGAAATGGGAAATGGGGGTGGGCAAGAAAACAGATGGAATGATTTCAACAGCTCCTGTAAGTGATGATATGTGTCTATGAACACAAACAGGCAATAGCAGATGACACAGCCTCAGCACACCAGACCACATGCCACAGCAATGCTACAGACCAAATGGAAAGATTTGTCTGTTCATCATGAAGCAAGCCCTATTGGTTCTGAGAAGCAGAGCTCATTATCTCCCAGTGAAAGAAAACATTGAAACCACAGACTGGCCAGCAGAAGCATGACAAGCTCTTTTTTTTTTTTTTTTTTTTTTTTTTTACTGCTCTTAAAGGGCAATAAGCCCTTTCCCACCTGCACAGGCTCCAAAAGTTGATTGCTTTGAGTGCTGGATGCCCCAGCACTCTGCCTCTGAGGCTCCTCTCCCTGGCCCTCAGGCTCTGCATGCTTGTAAAAACACTTCTCTCCAAATGGGCAGCAACGCCTGCCTACAGAAAAATACCTGCAGGTCTTGCTTCTCATAGCCTCCTTGTACTGCTGAATAAGTTTCTGCTTTTCATCCTCCTCCTCCACCCAGAACTCACTGGGAATGACAAAATTGGAGGTGACCCTGCACTGAGGGCAGGACTTGATGATCCTGTTCTCAAACTGTTTGGCAGTCCTCCACCTGCGGATACACTTAAGACAGAAGGTGTGGTTGCAGTTGGAGAGGATGCCAAAACGGCAGTCAGCGGATTTAGCTCTCTCAAAGACAACCTCCATGCAGATGCCACACACTTTGTCGATACTACGCTGCACAGCAAAAGAGAGTTCCATATCCTTCTCGTGTACTTCAATGCAGGCTTTTATATGCTCTGCCCTTTGGACAGCATTCACGGGGTGCAAGACCTGAAGCCCACACATATCGCATATCTCTCCGTGGAGATACACACAGCTCTCCCCACGAAAGCATTGCCCCATGGCAGCATCGCGGCAAAGCTGCTCCCCCATGCCCACAGCAACCTGCTCCCTCTCAGTCACCAAGCTCTGTACAGGAGCTTCGGGAATATAAGGGGCCTTACGGCCCCGGTAGGGTTGCCCGGGAACAAACTCAATGGCACCCTCCCAGCCTTCTGCACCTGCTCCTCCGGCAGCCTCAAGGCCGGCATTGTCTGTCTTGGCTTCAAAGAAACCCCTTTCAGCAGCCGAGCCAATCAGAGGCAAGGAGCAAGAGGACGCAGCAGGGGGGGCTTCCGCCACTTGCTGAGGCAGGGGCTCGGGCTCGTTGTGCGCAGCCGTGCTGGGGCCTCTGTCGGGAGAGGCCCGAGGCGGCGAACCGCGGCCCTCCCCGGCCAGCTGGCGGCCCGAGAGGTCGTGGGAGTAGCGACAGTTCTCCCCCTCCTTGCACAGCCCATGCATATAATACCTGCAGACGACTTGCTTCGTCCAGCTGCCGCTGCTTCGGCCAGGCAGGAGACTGGGCCTGGCCCCGCCCCCTGAGGCCTGGGCAGGCCTCACACGTGACGGGCGGAAGGGGGTTGGGCCCGGAACCCCCGACCCCCTGAGGACCCTGCGCACGGGGACGCTGGGCCTAGCTGCCCCTGCCCCTGTGGCCTCGGCACCCGCTGTTGCCCCAGCTGCCTCGTGGGGTTCTGTGGGAGCTGCAGGCTCTTCCATGGCAGCTTCTTCTCCCCGAAATGGTACCGGAACTTCCCCGTTGTCTCTTCCTTTCGGGCTCGAGGCCCGGCAGGCCGGAGCCGGTGCAGCGTGCGCCTCCCTGAGAAGTGTGCATCTCTTTTCCTTCCCCTGCTCTGTGCTTCCTGTGCTCTTTGTTCCGCCTTAGTTCTCTGAGCAGGCGCGGCGGACACTTCCTGTAGTGCAATGCTAGTCCTCTACCAGGTCCGTGAAGTGCGAACTAGTCCTTCGAGCCGCTTTTGTTCGCTTCGCTCGTGCCGCCAGTCGTCGCTTCTGTTCTTCTCTGCGCGCCAGCTGATCTCAATGCTTGCCGCATGCCGTTTCCTCTGGAGCATGTAATAGCAACCCTTTGAGGTTTTAGTCTCTTCTAGGGTCTTTCATACAATTTTATTTCACTGTTCTTTCGTATCTGTTCTAAAATTTATAATCCATTGTTTAAAAACTCATCTTGCAGTTTATAAAATATTTCATACCCGTGTTTCATAAATTCTGGCTCTCTTCACTGTGTTTTTGTATGTTATTTTATTTTGGTTGAATGACTGTCACTGCTGGAAGAATTTACATTTTGTTTTGTAGACACTTGATTTCTAGTTTTTATTTTTTTGAGAATTCTTATCGGTTTCTGTTAGAAATGTTTTATTTTTCTCCAGCAAGGCATTAGTAAGGAGCATTTCTGTTGAGGTTTTCTTTAATGCCTGATAGAGCTCTTAGCTTATTGTGATCTTCAACTTCCCGCCCACTGTTCAAATACCACAAACTTCATTTGGAGTGGAAGCTAGCTTAATAGGACACTGTGCCCTGTGTGACCCTAATTTTAATCTGTTGTTGATTTAACTCACAGTGGTCCTTGGTTCTCCTTTCTTTCTTTCAGCCAGGCTTGTGCTGTATTGTGGCTGCTAGTACTGCCTTTCATAACCAATTCTCTTAAGGTTCTTTTCATATGCGGTGCTTTTTAATTTCCATATGAGAGCTTTATATCATGTTGTATATATATTTCATTAGATTAGTAAAAACAATTATATTCTTAAAACTGCTACGAGTACTTGTCACACATGTATAATGAATGTTATGTAGTTTTCTGCATTTTTGAGACATAGTATTTTGTGTCCTCCTTTTATTCTGTGTGATTAGTTGAGCTGATTTTCAAATATTTAATTGTATTATTTTCCCCAAAACAAACCTTTCTTTATTATGATTATATGTCACTGAATTTTGTTTGCTAAAAAAAGTTTCATAGAGTTAAAAAAGTTTCGTATAGCAAAATTTGTACTTTAAAGTGAGAAAAAGTATGAATGTAGAAAGGAAATCATATTGAAAAAAATAAAAAGATAAGAAAAATATATAAACAAAAAATGAAGGAAAATGAATTCAGCAAACTCTTGGAGAGGATATTTGCAACTGATAAAATTCTGTTGAAATTTATTAAGGAAAAAAAAGGATCATAAAACCAGGGTCAGAAATTTTAAAATTTGTATTACTGCATTAATATTAGACACAAAAATCATGAGCATTTATGAAGAACAATGTTGGCCTGTTACATTTTAATGTTTACATGAAAGGGTCATGTTTATAGAAAGACTTCATAATATAGAAGCAACAACAATAAACATAAACATGATCTTTTAAGTAAACAGTTAGAAATAATTTCCTAAATAAAACCTTTACATTTTTTCTGTATTAAGTAGAAAGACAAAGTCTGTATTTATCACTGTGAGTCCAGTACAGTACATAAAAGCAAGTAAGAAATTTTAAGCAATAATAATGGTAAGGAATTATTAATGAAACAGCAGAAAATTGAGAATAATTTACTGATGGATGAGATTTAAAAGCACATTTAGCAAGTCTATTGACTAGGAGTGCATTATCCTATCCAAATACATAAAATCAGTTGTATTTTCACATGCAGTAGTGCTCCTGATCTGTGGTTTTCATTTCTCTGGTTTCAATTACTTGCAGTCAACTGAAGTCTGAAAATAACACATAATAAGGTATTTGGGAGCAGAGACCCACATTCAAATAACTTTTATTAAAGTCATAGCTCTGCATAATAATAAAATCTACAGAATAGTACAGTGTAGGGTTTGGTACTATCCATGGTTTTAGTAACCAACTGGGGTTCTTGGAATATATCCCCCCACAGATAGGTGGGTGGTGGGAACTACTGTATGACATAATCCCGGTAACTACATTAACATATACACATGGCTGAATTCGTGAGCCTTGTAGGAAAACATCCAAATTTCTTGAAATTTTTAGTATTTGATTATAACATAGATATATCAGTATAATTTTTAATATTCAGGGCAATTTTGTGATATAATTAAGGGACTTAATCATTTGTGACCTTTTTATGTCCATGTTGAAATATGGAATTAGAAAGGCTTCTATGAGTAAAATTCTTGTTAACCAGCTGCTCATTGATGATGACTGATGTGGATTCCTCAAAACAGCCCACTATCTCCCAACACGAACTAATGGAGTCCTGTAGCATGTGAATCCCAAAGCCGAAATGATCAGGGGACAAAAAAAAAAATGCACAAAGGTACCTACAATTCAGCTTCTTTGATAAAATTATTTTCTTTCTGCTTGTTTGAAAACTCAATTTTCTGAACACACACACACTTTATTGAGATATAGGTGATATACAGAAAGCGCATATGACGTGCACTTTATTGAGACTGACCTTCTGAACCTAAGGTGGAGAAAACCACCTTTGTGCAATTCAAAATAAAAATCATTTTGCCTATTAGTATGACAGAATTAGCATTCTTTCACAACCCCTCATGGACCAGAAACTCTTGAGGAATTCTACAGATATATTCCTGCCATATCCTAATAGCAGAACAGGGAGATAGACTTTAGTTTATTTAGGTTATTTTAAGGGATTTTTTTTTGAGTTTTCAAAGATCATCTCTTGTAACCTATACTATTAATTTTATAACAATTATCTCATTTGATATAGCAAACCCATGAGCTAATCACTTACCATTACACTACTACTAAAACTACTGCTCCTCTTCTTCCACCAGCACCTCCTCTTCTTCCCATCACCATCCCCATAATTTGTCAGATGAAGAAAAAGAGGCTGATTAATTTGTCTGAGATGAATTCCTCCATTCAAGCATAGTGGATTCCAGATTTCCTGAGACTAATGCCTGATTCCAGATCCTGGCCTTTATTCCCTCTGCTTAGTACCCTTTCCCCTCATAAACACACAGTGGTACCTCAATACTGATCTTGAAATAGTTGTGTGTGCTGGAGGGAATTTCTTTGAGATATATGTATCCTTGAAATATGGACATATCAGTCCTGTGAGGCTGGCCCAGCATGTCTCAGCTATTGGGAATAAAATACTGAGCCTCCCAGCTCACTCTGTCCTTTACCTTGGGCCACTTCTTTATAGTCTCCTGCCTCTTTCATTTTTGATATGCTGTGTGGACTTTTGATATGCAGCACTGTAAACCATTCACCCTTGTCACTCTGCTTTTGTGGTGACTGAATTACTTAGCCCAGCCTGTTTAGATGGAATCTTACTTCCATTCCTAACATTTGGATACTGAAATGCTGGCTGACCAGATCTTGTGCTGACTTTCATTGTATGCCATTGGCTTCAGCTCAACTTAATGGTAAGTTGAACCCAATAACTGGGAAAATAATCAGATTTATAGTCTCAGAAACTCTGTAAAAACAATTATCAATGCTTAACAAAAATCAGAATAGGAATGGGGACTATGACACTCAGAAACAATTCTTTGAGACTAAAGATTTGACCAGGATAGGAAATGGCGTATTTCTCTCAAGATGCTCTGTCCAATATTCCCAGTCATGAAATCCCATATGATACTTAAAACCACAAGATAAAATTCCAGTTCCTAATAGTACATATGATTTACTGTCACTAAAAATGTAGCTATTTTAGATAGTAGGTCATGAACATGACTGGAATCCTCTCAGGTGGGGGACATGTAAACAAATGCTGCCCCCTGCCGGCTTAACCTTGAGCAGGCTAAAAATAGTCTACTACCCGTCCTACATTTTGGGCAATAGGGAATACTCAAATACAATCTAGAAATTCACTGCCAATAACTTAGTTATAGTATGTTTAAGAGAAGCTTGGTTCTAAGCTCTTTAATTTGTTACAAGAGGTCTCAAGTTAGAGGCATTTCCTCAGAAAATATATTTTCGCTGCTTATGGTGTGTTTCTTCCTTCTCCTGCTCCTCCCTTCCCCCACAAACTGTTGTCCAAAATCTTAATTCCCCCTTTGTATAGGGAAGATTTATATGTAGAGATACAGCACTACTTTAGGGGGGTGTTTATTGTGAGGACTACAATTTATTATCTACTCACTTGCCGACTAATGAGTGTTCACGAAATAAATGGTCACACCTCTGGTGGATTCAGAAGTAATGGTCTGAGGTTTGGACAAATGGTTTGGGGGGTGTGTCCTGCTGCCAGACCCACTGGACACTACAGAAGGCTTGGAAACTCTACAAACCCGGGGCGCGCAAGAAAATACTTTCTGAATAAAGTGTCCAGAAAAGACTGCCAAGGACACAGTAGTCAGGAGATACATTCTGCGCTCTAGGAGCGCAAGATCAATGCATTAGTTCACAGGATAGTAAAACTCACTTTCCAGGAGGCGGGGCAGTATAGCTTTAATCACACTTTTACACTTGTTCATTTCGTTTGTTTTCCCCACTGGACTTAAACGAAACAAATCCTAATGAGGCGCCAACCAGTCTTATTATCAGCACCCAGGACAGGTCTTAGGTGGGTATTAGAGGAAAAGAGGGAGTTTCCCAACGGGATGCGCGCTGACCTGCCGCCCTAGCTAGGTGGCTTCCCTGCGCCCGCACAGACCTGCAGGAACCCTAGCGTCACAGCGACCTCCACCAACCCCAGCCTTTCTCTCTAGCTCTGTTTCTTCAACTCCTACGACGCCCGCTGGCGGCTCAGAGCGTCGCACGACTCAGTACCGTCCGAGCAGGGTCAGCTGACCTCCCCGGAATAAGCCGAGCTATCGAAGCGGAAGAGCCTTCGCAGACTACAATCCCCACAA